GGGGCTTCTGTGTGGCGTGGTGAGTGGATCCCCTGTAGCTCCTGGAAGCTACACCCAGCAGTGGCCTCTACAAGCCCCAATTCCTTCAAGCATGCTTGGGTCAAAATCGGGCCTATTTCTTAAAAATAGGTGTTTTTTTTTGTTTTTGGTCTTCTTGGGGCTTCTGTGTGGCATGGTGAGTGGAGTCCCAGTAGCTCCTGGAAGCTATGCCCAGCAGTGGCCCTTACAAGCTCAAAAGCTTTGTGCTGCTGCTGTTGCTGGACTTACCTCGCTTATTTTCGTCTCGAAATTATTCTACCTCGTACCTCGTCAGGTGAGCTCGCCTTAATTTGCCCAGAAGTTTGGTATGAAAGAAGTAGTGAAAGAGAAGTGCGATATGTTGTATGTTGGTGTGGTTCATCATCACAAGGCAATGGCATGTGTTTGTCACACGCAGGAAGGTATGCATCTCAGGGAAGTTGGAAGGCGACATCAACGTTAGCGAAGGGGAAACACCGTCTGAGTTCGAGTGGTGGAATACCACGTGCGCGCGCAGGAAGACCTTCTCCATAGTGAGTGTCGCCGCGCGCGCGCGCGCGAGTACGGCATGCGTTTGAAAAGAAGCAATTATGTGCTTGTTACATTTGGAGTGTTTGAAGTTTGAATTGAAGCCGGAAAAACGTTCGGTGCTTCTGGACGCCGCGAGAAGCATCCACTCGACCCGAGGACATGGCGCAAGTATAGTTTTTGCTAGGGGGCAGGAAGCCCATGCGGATATGTAGTCAACCTCGCAGGCGTCCCCACCGAAACTCAATCCAAAGTCATGGACTTGAACTCATGCAACTTTCGGTTCTCTATGGTTTTCGCGAGTTACGGGTTGTCCTGGGAACGCGAATCCTACGCGCGGCGGCGGTGGGTGCCTGCCTCCACTCAAGTCCAAGTAGCCTCCAAAGCCCTTCATGATGCTAATGATGCACTACTCGGGGTCCATTGCATCGCTCTCCCCCACCAAGCTCCGGGTTCACCCTCTCAAAATGTCCCTCTCAGCTCACTTCATTCGCTCAAAAAGCTCAAGCCTAGCCTATCGGCTGGCTTTCGTAAAATGTTTTATTATGCTTCAAACTACTTTGCCTGTCCATGAGCACTTAGAGATGGCAAGGAAAGAACGTTGATTGACTCAGGCGTGTTCTTGAAGGGCTGGAGTCTGGACAGTTGGCTGTTGACGCACCACAGTCTGCAAAATACATCTTGATGTGGTACGGACTCCTATGAACCTACATCAGCTACCTGCCGAAAGAAGAAGTAACACAATTAGCACTGGACTTTCCACATCAGCCAAGCAGCCCGTTCCACCATCACAAACACCATTGAACGGAATATTATAGCAACTTTCCTACCTTGCAGAATCAATGTATATGTTTACATATGTTTACTACTTTTTGGCAGGTGTGCTGCGTATGCCAAATAGTTCTAATTATCATCCGCCCACAGCCAAAATCGTGAACAAAGCTCCCAGAATCTGAGACCTCAAAGCCCGCAGCGTAGCTACTGCACTAAGCACTACACAACAACAGCCCAAGCAAACCAAGACACAGTCATCAGTGATCGCGACGCAAGCCGCCCAACTATAGCACGACTCGGAACTGCACATATCTCAATATATCTCAATTGCTGCACTAATTAAGTCTTCCACATGCCGCCTTTGGCATTCTGCGGAGCTCTCTCTCTCTCTTTCTCTCTCTCTCTCTCGATACATGTACATATATATATATATATATATTGTGTTTCTCTAAAAGCATATGTAGGTATGATATTGTGAGATGTCGACAAACACAGAAAAGAAGAGGTGCTAGAAACTGAGATGTCGACTCACCTCAGTGTTCTTCCAAGTGAAAAACGGCCATCAAATGCAAAGATGGTAATAAGATAGTGGAAAAACTGCGGTGGGGATTTATTTTGGAGCGTCCATGTGTTTTCCCGACTGCAACCAGAATTGCAGCAAGAGTCATGGGCAAAGGGCCAAGAATAAACACATGCAAGCTTCTTGCTACTACTAGTAAGGCACTTGTTACTAGTAGCGATGCACTTGTTTCTAATAGCTTCTTGTCACTACTAGTAAGTCAAACTCACGGAATGATTGCATATTCTGTTCATTCACAGATCGAGCACGGCATTCAACCTAGCTCACAACAGCAGCTGTATGATTTTTGCCGCAACGTCAGGCTTTTGCTGGTGGGACGAAACATCGATGATCTCTTCTGGACCAGTCTGATCGGACCAAAACTGGCTATGCGAAAGGCAATGAAAGCCTCCAAACCAGCCTCATTGAAAAGCACAAAGGCGAAACGGCATAGTCAAAATGGCACACGAAAAGGCAATTACTGCCTTTTCCGACTTAAGCCGTCAAAATCTCTGCTGCAAGTTCAGCAGCCAACTCCCCACCACCATTGCACACATCAAAGATGCAATCCTCAAAGAAATCGTCTGAAACGTTTGAAATTAAGGCTTGTGACAAATGCTTGGAGCAAATTTTGGCAGCTTGAGACTTCTTTGCCCCCGTGCAAGCGCTCAATTGGTTCAATAGCATTATACCTTTGCCGGATTCATCCATCCTCTGCAAATAGTGGGCAGCCCTCCGGCTTCCACGCAACTCTGTCCAACTCTTGTCTTGTAAGAACTCTTGGTCTTCACTTTGCGCTCGCTTGCCAAAAAGCTTGGCCTGGGCGGCTTCGCCTTGCCATCTGCCATTTCCTTGCATTAAGCCTTGCTTGTTCTCCCTTTCTCTCTTTTCCTCGTTCTCTCTGTGGCCCGTTTGCCCTTCAACGAGACGAATGTCATGTGGCCGAAACATAGAAACCTTGGTATCAATCTGCCAGTCCACCATGCAATGGACGTGGAGTGTGGCAATCTTGCGCCCCTCCTCACGCAGGTCGACCTCAAATCGTCGAGCACGTCTCTTGGGGAGGCGAGTGATATTGATGCTTGAGCTGCCGTTTTTGCCCGTCACCAAGGTTTGCGACATGTTCACAGATATCCAGCCGTTCGATGCATTTCTCGTCCGGCAATCGCACTTTTCAGTAGTCCATTCCACTGAAACTCCTGTGTTGTCTATGAGGAGGAGCCCTTTGGTGTAGGAACTTCGCCCAGCATAATGTGCAAAGATCTGCCAATCCGTGCCGGATTTTCTGAAGCGCCATAGCAAAAAGCTGCCTTCCCGGAGCAAGGTGTAGTGTCCTCCGTCAAGCCTCTGAATGTGAGGATCACCATGAGAGCCTCCTCCTGTAGTTGTTGTTGTGGTTGTTGTCGTAGTGGTAGTGGTAGTTGTGGTAGTCGTCGTAGTTGTGGTAGTCGTCGTAGTTGTGGTGGTCGTCGTAGTTGTGGTGGTTGTGGTTGTGGTGGTCGTCGTTGTGGTGACTGGTTCTGGGAACGGTGACAGGGCAGAGAGGCAATTCAAGCCATCATTGGAATTGGTTCGAGCAGATCTGCTGACAAAACCGGCATTTACTCTGCCAGTTGTCGAATTTGCTGTGGCCAGGTTGATAAAGACCACACCTGCAGAAAAATGTCGAAAATAAGATGAAGAAAAAAAACGCAGGACACTTTGTTGTCACCATGAAGCAGAATTGAAACAAAAAAACGTTGAAAAGGGCATCCAAGGCGCCATCCTCGCCATTGTTGTATGCGCAATAAATTGCACCGCTGTAGAACCACTGTGCACCCGAACTGCCCGAAGGGCTCTGGTAACGCATTGTGAAGCTCCGCACGGGAAGTTGCGTATCGCTCAATGATTGCGCGCGCACCTGGTCGTGGACAAGCCACATTTTCTCCGTCTGATTTAAGCCGCCGGTGATCCGGTTCGCAACACATGAGCTATGACCATTCTATCCTGCCTCATTGCCGGTGCATCCAATCAAGTAGTTCTCTGTTCCGAAGCCCAGATCTGTCCTG